TAGCCGTGCTCAGGGCCGGGGGGATAGGCACCAGCTGAAGCAGGGTATCCTGCATAGTTGGGCTGATCGTAGACCGTGGGGTTCCAGCCGAACGCGTTGACCCGAGAGTCAGGCCTGGGATACGGAGATTGTCCATATCCTTGGTCGTAACCACCTACCACCGCTTGTGAGACATGGGTTCATCTAAGGCCACATAGCATCCTTACCTGCCGAAGTGTGCCGCGCTAAGCTCTCCTCCATCATACGGTCGAAGATGGTTCGTGCTTTGACGAACGTCTCGTTCATAGTGACCAAATCAGCTACATGTATATTAGTGAGGTCATTGCGAACTAGGTCTGCCTGACGCACCTCGCTTCTGGCTATACTTGTCGATAAGTTTGACAATCTTCGGCCGTAGGCTCATACAAGACCGATACAATTCCTTGACCGGCGCCCGTGAGAAATTCTGTCAGGACGGGAACGCCAGCGACATCGACATACCTGGATCTCCTCATTGTCCGCCAGGTTGTCCTTTGCCGGGTCCATCTGGCGCAACATCTGTAGTAGTCGGTCGACGTTCGCAGCCTGGCCAAACACCCCCGCTTCCTGCTCGGCTTCGCGGGCAATATCGGCCGCAGTGGGCTCGGGGAGAGGTTCCTACGAGGCTGTCGTAAACGTCGTAGTAAACGCAGAACGTTTGCAGGCAAACATACGACATAGTTGACTGGGAAGATGCCCGTGCGTCCCTTCAGCTGGCCCCTCCACCAGTCCTTGTAACCGCGGTCTACCACTTTGATGACATCTCCCTTGTCGAACGCGAGTTCGCCGGGTTCGGTAGGCTCGAAGGTGTGCAATGCGCGAACGCGCGTGACGATCGTAGTGCTGTCCTGGGATTTGACAGAGGGCGCGGGGCTCGTGGCAACGTTCGTACTGTACGCGCGCGTTGGCGTGGAGACGGAAACGTCATTCGCCGACACGGCCGGGCTGGCGGACGGGACGTATCCGCCGTAGGTAGGACGTGACGTCGTGGGCGAAGCCGTCGAGGCAGGCGCAGGTGCTGCCGCCGGATGAGTCGTGGAAGAGGCGGCGGCGGAGCTGCCAGCTCCACTCGAGGAGGCGAGTGAATACTGATTCCACTGTCCGCCGCGACCGCCCTTGTCGTGCATCGACATCTCGAGCACACGCTGTAGCTCTTCTTCTTCTCGGCGACGAACTTCGTCGTCAACGTCTGGGGGAGGGGGTTCGTTTGGTGTCTCGAACTTGTACCCTGCGCGCCGACCGCTATGAGCGGCGATTATCATGGAGAGCTGTGCGGAGCTTGCCTTTCGATTTGAGGCTATCGTAGCACTCCTCCATGATCCCGAGAGACGGGTCTTTCTCAAAGTCTGAAGTCCACTCCGCAATGAGTGATAGTGCCCGCCGGCGTACTTTATCATGGGTATTCTGGAGGTGCAAGGCGCAAGATCAGCCTTGTCCATGCTATCACCAGGTGCCGTGGGTGCGTACACGGTCAGTGATGAGTTTCTCAAGCCCTTGTGTGAAAGCCCGCGAGGCGATCTCCCTGTGCAGCTCGACTCCGCAGTTCTTGGTGAGCGACTCAGCCAGTGTCAGGGTATATAGCTGGACGTTTGACGTCCTGTGCGTGAGACGTCTCAGGATGGCTGCAATGACATTTCGTGCTCTGAGACAGCACGTCAGTCTTATCATCCGCGGAGACGATGCCCATGGACTCACCCTTGCTACAACGTTGTCGGATAAGTTGAGTATCATCTCCCAGTTCTCGCTCAAGGCGGCTCTGGGATGCGAAGATGGGGGAGTTCATGGCTGAGTTCCGCGAACACGAGGAAAAGGTCAAGAGCGTCGTGTTCATGCCCGGTAGCAGCGATATTATCTAGTCCTCGGAGGACGGGGCGGTGCGCGGGTGGAATGTCCACGACGTTCTGAGACTTGGTTAGACCCTGCGTGTGTTCTTTAAAAAGCCTCTAATGTTCAATTACACTATGTATCATGGTGTCGAGGCGAACGACCGCTGGGCAGCCGGTTTTGCATGTCAAGGCTATGTGTACAAAATGATACTACAGTTCAGGATTCTCGAGGTGGTCCTGCTCATACCGCAAAGAACATGTATGGTAACAAACGCCTCCTTCTATCGGCCTGATGGTCTAGAGGTATGATTCACCCTTAGGGTTTCTCACGATCTCGTGAGTTAACTTCTGGGTGAGGTCCCGGGTTCGATTCCCGGTTAGGCCCCGCTTTTTTTGGTTCCTCTGCCAAACGGCGAGTCTCGACTGTAAGGCTCCAACTGTTTAGTTTATGTTTACAGTGGAC